CCCCCCCCCCCCCCCCCCCCCCCCCCCCCCCCCCCCCCCCCCCCAAAAAATGACTGAAAATTTCCACTTATTGTAAATGGCATTAATCAAATATCAATAATATATTCAGAAGGAAACATCCATTTACGCTGAAAATTTTAGAATATTCTAAGGATCATGAGACTTACATATGGAAAAAAATTCATATGAAAATTCCATCATTCACGGTTTGGATTTTGGGAATTTGGAATTTTTTTTGAAATCCTAAATCCATCTTTTCCCCCTTGATTAATGTATAATAAAAATATTAGATCCCCTCCCCCTTCAGAAAATCTTGGCTATGTCGTTGATCTCAATGAGATGAACATACGCACCGACATCCACACTTTGTGAGGGCGTGTGCCATTTCTTTCCACTCTCAAACATCCATATCTTACACATACTACATATATTGTGAGATTGTATTTGATCAAAAACGCACAAGCACAACAAGTTCGAAACATTGAAGTTATTTTGATGTTTTTATTTTCGTCTTCATAATAGTAGTCTTACTCTTTTTCTTGCTCAACATCCATTTCGAAGACATTTTACCAATAAATGTTTTATAAAATTCTTCCTTGTAACTAGTCGATGGCAGAACATAGAGAATAAAACCAAGAATTTGTGGTGCATATGAAAGTAGATAGGAACCAAGCAGTGTATGATTTTGCGAATTACTTAATTGTGAACATGCAAAACTGAATGTAAGAATGGCTTGTGGAAAAGCAGAAAGAACAATGATCGTTGGCGTCACATAAAGTTCTTTCTGAGACTTGAATTGCTTTTTTAACATATCACTAAGCGATATCTTACGTCCAACTGCTTTCATTCGACTACGTCCAGCCAGAATAATTAAAAAAGTGATGCATAGGATTTGAATGAAGAATGGAAAGAGATAATGAATGAGAGTAGAGATTCGATTGTAAGTAGATACTGAACTGATACCAAAATTTGTTACACAAATTGATGAACCAGTGGCACGATTTCGAATTATTGTGTAATAGATTATTTCATGCACGTGCATACTGAAGAGTACGATCAATGTAAAAAAACTGATCCCGAGAGCTAGACGAGGGTTTTTTAGAGCCGATGAACTTGAATAGAGAATCATAGAAAGACGATCAACAGTTATCCAACTTGTCAACCAGTTAGTTGATCTAGTCATCACTGAAAAAAAATAAGAAATCACTTTGCATGAACCAATATCAGCAATTCCAAAGGTAATTTGTATAAATTTGAAAAGCAAGCAGACCAAAGAAATTTGATTGAGGCAACTTACAATCAACAAATAATTACCGACACCAAACTTTCGAGGCGTTGGACGTTTGAATGTGACGAATGAACAGAAATTATTCAGGAGTCCAATGATGAAGAGAAGACAAACTATAGACACATAGATTAGCTTTACTTCTTTTGAGTAGTTGACAAGAAACGAATCGAGAGTAAAACCAAATGCTTGCATGCTAAATTCACATTGATGTCCTTGATGACAAGAGAGACAAAGGCAAATGAAGTCGTTGGGATCTTCTAGATCACCTTGAAGACATTTTCCTCCAGACAAACATTGGTAACAAAAATCATGTTCAATATCGAGCATGAAACATTCAGCACGATAGTGATCTTGTTGACAAATACAAAAATAATTTTCATCTCGAAAACAGACACGTTGAGTATTATTGTGACAGATGTGATGATAGTTGAAGACGGCCGAAACAGATGGATTGATTCCTGAAAATAAAATCTATTTCATATGAATATTATCATTGGTAGAAAAATTGACCTTCAGAGAATAGTAATGATGCATGTGGACAGTGTTGTGGAGATGATGTGATATTAATCTTTGATTGATTTCTCCAAAAGTATATGAGAAAATATTGTGGATGTGATAGATCTTCGTAAATTTTGAGAACTCCAAGTGGAGGTGCATAGTCACTACGATGGTAGAAACTAATTGCCGATGGCAATCCAATATAGCTTTTCTGATATGCGATAAGCAGAAAGCCAGTTGGGAAATATGAATAAAGTTGAACAACAGTTCCACGAGCGATCAGCATTTTCGTCATGTTCAAATTGATATAAATAGACATCTTCTCATCTCGACATTGATGTCCATGGAATCGTTCTGAACAGTGGCACATATAGGAATTTTCACCATTTGGGTCATATTTTGAAAAACAAGTTCCGTTGTTCAAGCATGGATTGAGATCACAATTGTCGTATTTCAAATTGCAACGTGGTCCAAAATGATCCAATGGGCAGATACAATAAAATTCTTTTTCTTTCGCTTGTCGATCAGAATCATCAGGCCGACAAAACGAATTGACTGAGCAATATGTTTCACAAAGAGGCGTGTACATACTGCAATTTATTCCATAGTAACCACTTTTACAAGAACAATAATGCGAGTTGTGGTGGTTGAAAACTGGAAGACAAGTGGAATTCTCATTACAATATTTATTAGAACAAGGATCAAGTGTTGTATTCCCTAGCCAAGATGGGAATTTCAATACGACAGCCAAGCGAAAAGCTGGTAGATAGTCGAAATAGATTAGATAATGCCAAGAGCCAATTTCTCTTACAGTGTTGTTCTTGTTAAGAGCGAAAACATCAAGATGAACTGAATACGGATGATTATGATTGACATCACTTTGATTGAAATAGCGCCAATACTTATGTGCAAGCATTTCAGTAGAACGCGAATAGAGAAGATAAAACTTATGTTTGATGATCTGGATTCTTTCGGATATTGGAACAACATGAAATGCGTGATTATCAATTATCCCAGGACGAGCTTTACGACGTCCGTATACGGTGAAATACGGGCCGTATACGACGGTAAATCGCCGTATTTGGCCGTATTACATGGCTCCGTATTACGATCGTAAATCTCCGTGTCGTAATACGGTGAAATACGATCAAAAACGACCGTAAAGCGCCGTATTTCGCCGTATACGGCACGGAGATTTACGATCGTAATACGGAGCCATGTAATACGGCCAAATACGGCGATTTACCGTCGTATACGACCGTGTATGTTCGACCTGGGATTCTATTATTGAAAAGAAGATTAACTTTGATTTTGAATGTCATGTTCGAAATGGTCTTGAATTCTGTAGTCTGATTGATATGTGCAATAATACTGATTCGATCACTGAAGAATTGGCACCAATCACCATAATAAGCAGGTGGACATAGACATCGAGTTTCATTGATTTCAACAACAGCGATACCTCGATTACATTGATACGAATGTACTTTGAAAGATTGATCATTTCGAAGATTGATGATGGACTTCGATGATTGATGTTTATTAGTCTTCAGTGTACCTTCGATGGGAAATGATATATTGGGGATTAATACACGACGTTCCCGTGAAAGTCGCTTCTTACTATTGCGATATAGAATTTTATTTTCGAAATTACCAGATGGACACCAATATTCATCTTCTCCATTCAAACAATCAACTTTTTTTTATCGCACCGTGCACCTCTCTTGCAATGATTGTCTGTGAGACAGATGAAATCGTTCGGTTGGGAGCATGATCCCTCTTTATCTCGGTAGTGTGAACAAAGAATCTGGGTGCAGTTACGTCCCTTGTAACAACTGTATAAGTTAATTATGTGATCAGTTCCACAGCGAAAATTGAAACCCCACATGCCCCCAAGACCCGCGTTTGATGTGAATGTGTTTTTTTCATCATAAGCATTATGGCAATCTTCCACACCATCGCCAATCTGAGTAAGATTAATGCATGGACGATTCAATGTCATATTCAACGGGTTTAATACTCCAGATAGATAGCAACCAAATTCAAATGACACATTGCAGTATTTGGAAAATGGTGCGTTAGAATATCGTATTCGACATTTTTCAACATGAAAAGAAAAATTTCGGAGTAGAGAATTATGACTTAACCTATTCTGATTGAGCAAAATAGCTTCTTCATCAGATGCATCAGAGCAATCCCATTCGCCGTCACAAACCCAATCGAGTGCAATACACTGTCCTGTTCCACATTGATATTCATCGTTCTTACATATCCAATATTTGCATGAAGAAGACATTTCGTCAACATGTTTCTCCAAATCCCAGAAACTATCACAATACTGTTGAAAAGAGATGCGATCTATTGTCGTTTGCCGTTCACGATTAACAAGTGGTGTATTACTACTGAAATTCCTAGCAGACGATTGTTGAATGTATGTTTTCACAAGATGGCAGTCGGTTTTTAGATTTGTGGAACATGGAAGATTCCATTTTATACCACTACCAGTGCCATACAAACTTTCGTCATAGTTATTCAAACAGTTAGGAATCCCTGTGTCCAATCGATTGAGTGTGAGACATTTGCGTTCATTATTATCATAACATTGAAAACGATGTCGCCCGACATTTGCCATGCAGTAACTCTTGCCAGGAACCATTCTCTCATCTTGTCCATCCCAGCAATCAGCATGTCCATCACGAATTCGATATTGTGAGATGCATTCTCCTTTTCTAGTACACATGTTAAGATTAACAGCATATGGTCGACGATTGAATGTTAATGAGTAATTCCAGCAGAACTGATGATTTTTATGAGGTGATTCAAAATACCTATATATTAATCCAGGAGTTTTGGTTTCACAAAGTACATGGTTGAAGCGTCGATCGAGTATCAGCTCATCAACCTCACCGACCACTACAGGACCTTTGATCCAAATAAGATATCCTCGACATTTTAGACTTCCAGAAAGATAAACATACTGAAAATTTAGATTTCCTGTGAAGCTACTGTAGTTGTACTTGACGATCACATTTGAATTGATTAACCCTTGTGGAGGATAGACAATGAGTCGCTCTGAATCTTGACATTCATGTATCATCATGTCTGTACAATTTCGCTCATTGCATGGACAATTATGCTCGAAATTTTTCGATAAAACAAATCGAAAGAGATATTGACATTTGTCGTATTGGGAGATGTTTGACGCAATAATCTGGTTCCATGCAGGGTATCGAGAATCATCATAGTCTTTATCTGGACAACATAATCCACTTTCGAGTGTCCAAGTCGATCGATGTGGACTCACTGCACACATGTAATTTAGATTCCGCTTGTTGAAACAGTCCTCTCGTGCTTCGACTACTCGTTGAAATGCCACTCGTGTCTCCCAGTAAACACATTCCCCATCGCCGCAAGAGTACATGTAGCTCACGCATAAGTGTTCGTCACATTCCATCGCTTTCGGATAGAACGGACACGTTTGTTCATGTTCACTATAATATTCATCACTCCAATCCATACAATCATGATCACCTATGAAAGCGATCACTGGAATGAAAATTTCTGAGTACAGTCGACAGTACTTACCATCCAACCAGAATTCTTCTGGAATGCACATTCCATTTGTGCATCGAAATTCATCATCCTCACATTCATTGAATTCTAATTTGTCACAATTTTCTTCATCAGTACCATTTAAATACTCTTGAGCACCGTCACAAATATCTCTCCAATCGAGACAGAGAGGACTCGATGGACATGGCAATGTCTCATAGCAAATAATCTTTCCATATCGTTGAGTGTTCCATGAATCACCTGTTCGCTTTTGTTCAAACTGAGCTTTTATTGCCTCAGAAAATAATTCTACTTCATGTGTCAATTGATACTCACAATATTTTCCAAATGTTCCCGATTTTGTGCAATTACACACAAATCGATCATCGTCGTCGTCAATAAACGAGTCATTGTAGAAAACACTAGCATATAAATCTGCCATCTCAACACTTGAAATCCACTTGAGAACGATGTTTGGATGAATTTCTTCATTGAGTAGATGCCGGAAGAGTCTCTTCTCCCCATGATTATTACATTCATTCTTTCGTCGATTGTATGATTGATTTCCGCCTGGGCGACGGCAATATGAAATTTCCTCTCCATCATTGGGCACATAATAGACACAATCAAATTTCTCGACTGCCTCTTCCTTTTCAGTGTTGTAAAGCAGAACTCGACCATCTCTAATGGTAAAGATTAAGGCGAAAGTTACTAGTAGAGGCGTTAGCATCTTTTCACTATATCACTCTCATAGTTCATATGAGCAGATAACTACTATTGATACTAATCTATCTATATAGCTATCTTTCAAGAGAGAAAAGATGACAAAGAAAAATCACGTTCAAAATTATTTTTGATTGCATGCTACTTTTCAATATTATCATATTTCATTGGATGCTCACGTTTGAAACAGCATTGATGAGTAAATAGTTCATAAATGATGGCACACATGAAAAAAGATGTCATGAAATGAGACATGCTATTATGCATGATATTTACGATGGGAACTAGTGCTTCCAGTCTGGCCTGCAAAACAATGGCTGAAATTTTTTATATTGATTAAGTCTTATTATGAGTGGTAGTAAAGTTTTAAAATACCTGTATAAATACGTTAGGTTAAATTTTTACTTTAACTTTGATAATTGGTTATAAAATGTCACGCTTTAATTTTAAGATTAACACCTGCTACATAACTTCATTTTCACTGCTTTAGGATGTGGGTCGATATGCTTGTGCGACATATCATCACACCCACATTCTCTATTTTCGGCTAAATAATTTTGAATTCAGTTGTCAGAATTCTTGACAATTCATCTTTACCCAGGTCAATGATCCTGAGTCGTAAACAGTGTTACGATGAAATACGGTCGTCGTAAACGAACATCGTAACTAAACGCTAGAGTAAATTACCCTAATAACAGCACTAAAAAAATTACATGACTTCATTGATTAGACGTGTGGTCTAACAAATCTGAAGATATAGTGATGATCATGATTAATAAAACTCGCATTGGGTAAATTATTTTATAGATATCTTTCAAGTACAAAAAGTGTTTAAATAGGGTGTGGGAGCGAGTATGAGTTTGAGTGCTCTAGTGATGGACCGCCCAGCAATTTTCCAATGTTAAAAATTACAAAAACTCACGTAAATAAAACGATAGTTACGAAACTTATGCGAAAATAGATCTCTACCACGATCAATTAGACTCTTCGGCTACTCTTCCGTAACTTCGTATTTTCTTTCGTAATATTTCGTTTCTTATGAAGCTCTTGCGGCCTATCACTAGAGTGCTCTTAAGAACGATGCCCACACCCACAACAAAGATGTCGCATTATACGCTTATCAGATGGGTATGTATCAATTAATCAGATTTTACGTTAAAATAAAATGATAAAAATATAAGTCAAAGAAAGATGAAACTGTGCTACAAATCAGGTTGCGCTCGGAGACGACATAAAATGATGAATGAAATAATAGCAAATGGAACAGCTACGGCACCAATTATAAGTAAAATGAGCGGATAAAAAGTAGTTGGCTTGTACCATATTAGTTCAGACCATTTCTTTGTATTGTACCAACATGGATACGAAGAACCAACCTAAACAAACAAATATTCTTGCAAACAAACGCTTAGCCAATCCACGGGAAATAAACAAGAGAATTTCTTTCACCCACTTCTAACTAAAGAGAATCGTAAGATTCTTCGACAAGAATCAAGTCAGTGGCAGCAAACGTACATCCGCTTTCTTTATTCTCTGAAATTCAGGTTATCGAGAGGGATTATTCGAATATGAACTATTAATGCATATAATTATTCTTATAAGTAGATGAAAATAGGACAAGAACGATTCCTTGCACTGATCATAGATGATATTTCTTCAGGCGGAATTGATCGGGTAATGAAAAAGAAACGATTAATTCTGCAAATGAATTCATAAAAAAGACTTGAGTAAAATGTGTGCACGCATTTGAATCCTGCTGGAGTTGCAATGAAACATTGCTCATATATTCTCGTGGTTCTGTAAACGAGTAGCTGATAATACTACATACCTTGTATTTATCAGATGCGACTATCACGTGATCGAGAGATCGTTCTACATATCCGTGTATTGTTCCTTTGCGTGTTCCATTTTGACCGAATTCAACATGCCAGACTGGTGCATAACATTTCCCACGCCTTGCTCCGGCCTTGGAATTTTCGGTACATCTCAAGGAAGCGTCGTAGCTAGCTGATGTAACGCGGCAGGAATCTTCCGCATAGTGTAACACTTTATAGCGCTCTTGGAAAAAGAGTGAACCACCGACTCCAAGGCAGGCTACAACAACAACGGAGAAAAAACCTCCAACACCGAGCGCAATCTTCACTGATCGAGGCATGGAGCTAATCCCTGCCATAGGATAGAATCTAAAAGAATGTAATATAATTCGCTTCTTTGTCTTTTAATTGATATACAGGTAATCGAGCAGACTGAGCTTCTCCACCGACTGTTGAGCCTCCCATTGAAGATTTTTCAGATAACCTTTGGTAAAAATAAAAAAAGACACAAACAAAATCATCGGATCTCTTTCCCTATAGTCTTAAACTGCTTAACTTAATTTATGATCCTTTTACAAACCGTTAACATTTGTAACAGAATAGCATCAACTAAACGTGAAATTGCAGGCAGACATGGCTATGCTCTTCAAGGAAAATACGATTGCATGTCATGCTTGAACTTAAAAGGTTTGCGTGGGATATAACAAGGATCTGACGATTCTTGGAACACCAATTTACTTTTTTTTTTGAATTTAGCTAATTGCAAACTAGATCGATCAAATACAGAATCACTTACATCAGTTATACTTTGTCAAGGTGCCCCTACGCTAAATTAACAGGAGCTTTTAGAGGCCAAGTATCGAAAAATCATTTTTTACTACGAAAAAAAGTAATTTTAATAAGAAAATCTTGTTCCTTTACGTTAAAGTTTGGTTTCAAGTCAAGGAGGTAAACAAAAGTTAGGTACCCAAGCCACATCAGTACCTTCACCACTTGTCTTGGCAGTATCTCACCACTAAATTTTAGGGGAAGGTGCTCATATTGAACACTGCTCGAGGAGCTGCAGGGTGAGGCTAAGGATGTAAGTGGGAATTTCAAGGATATTAGTGCATACACCAGCGGCCCAAATAGTTTTCACACCCACTGGCGAATTGTCTCTTATTTCACTGAACTATTTAAATCATGTATTTTCGATGCTAAATCTGGATTTTCATGCTTAGGAAGTATACATTGTTGGAAGATCTTTTTTCGTCATCTAAAAAATTACTATAAAACAATCTGTAAGAAAGAAAGAAAATCATCATTTTGCAGAAATTTGCATGACGATTTCTTTTAGAAAATATATGTCACTAGCAGGCAAGCTGTCAATGATAATTGTGGAAAAAAAACATTCCCATGATTTCTAGCAGGTTTATTAGATTCGAAATATATTTCTAACAGAAAGTATTTCAGGTTCGATCGCTAAATAGTTGTCAAATAACCGGTAACAATAGAGGATCATTTGAGACGATTCAAAGTGAACGTAAGTAAATTTAGCAGTAGATTCGATTCTTTTGACCAAATATGCACCCACTGAATTGCGTCAAATACAATATTGGCTGTGTCAAGTAGAGAACTGAAATGCTTTTGGTTGACTACCTTTCAGAACCTAGAATCCCCGTGAAAACCTTAAAAATACACGTTTGCTTAATTACTTTTCACTAAGACTTCCAGTAAAATGGTCAAATATTAACTCTAAAAAGAAGTGAAACATATTCCACTGGACGAGCTCTATCGAATGATAGGACTTTTATATGGATTTGAACAGTACTTTAATTGAAAACTACCTATTACTACCCAAAAGGACTTGCTGCATCGGTATATTGATCAAATATTCGCTGTATGCGTTGTATCAGCTCTAAAAACGAGTGCGTCATATGTCAATTGACGAGCTCGAACTACTGGTGTGACTTTTGTATAGATATGAGTAGTGATTTACAGGATTAGTCTTCTGTAGGACGCATAATAGTCTCCTGGAGCTCGATTTGAATATGGCGCACTCCTTTTCAGAGTTGTCATAACTCTATGAGTGAATATTTGTTCGATATACTAGAATTCTCAGTGAAAAGTAACTAAAGAAACGTGTATTTGTAAGGTTCTGGCAGTTTTTATGGGAATTTTGGGTTCTGACAGGTAATCAATCGAAAGCATTTTCAATTCTCTATTTGAAAGAGTCGATATCTTTTTTTGAAACAAGTCAGAGAGCGAATATTCGACTCTGCTACTAATTTTACTTACTTCCGTAGCGGTTTTTCGAGCTTGACAATTATTCAGAGCTTTTCATTTTTATACATCTTTTTAGATGTAGGCAAGTTTTTAATTCGCAGGTTGTGAAGGAGCACATGAAATATTGTATGGTGTCTGAATTCCGAGTCAACGCCTTGCATCATATACAGGTAAATACGCAGAAAAGAAAATGAAAAAAATGATTTTGGTCTTTGCAATATTTTTTGTTTTGACTGATTGATCATCAAATCAATGTGTAGTAGAGTGTCTTCTGAATTGTCGAATGCAAATATAACGACACTTTTTTTTCTTTTTCTCTCCCTAGGAGAAACTAAGCACTCGCACATGTTTTTTTTGCTTTCTTTGCTTCTATTCGTTGTTAAGTCAACATCGTCCCACTCCTGTACAATTATTTTTCCTTTTATTCAATTCATAAGCGATGAAGATGAGGGTGAAATAAGCTATCATGACGAGTTTCGACCTTGAATAAATTTGATGATAGATATTGAATCATATTTTGGGCAAATTTTACCTGTTCAATTTTAATTAAAACAAAGTGTTTTAATCTAGAACAGTGCGAAGAAATTAACATGGTTGTTTTTATTATTTCGCCCTCCTCTCTTTATTGTTACACCCAAAGCGTTTACAATTGATAGTGTATCTATCTTAAGTATGTGGATTAATTTGCATCACGGCAGGGTTCTTCTAATTTTTATTTTGTGAATGAAAAATGTTGCCGCTTTTTAAAGATATTTAGAGAAAAATATTTCAGATGAATAGACATATCCCATGAGTGATATCGCTGTTGCTTTCATTGTTGATAGAGTCTGTAAAGATCGTGAAACTATAAGATGCATAAGATCGATACCACCAACGGTAAAAGCTTTCAAATCGATAGCTGGAAGATATGATGATTTTGCCCCATGTTTTTATTTCTAATACTTGAGATGATCGGATGGGACCATTCAAATTTAATTTGAGTAGCTTTTCTCGCCTTCTCGACTTATATAACAGTTTTTGACGCAATTTGTGATATACCGTTTCATTCATATCCTGTGATACAAGTTCTGCTTTGTAAAATTCAAAGAAGCTGTTGAATGCTTTGTGTAGGCAGCTTGGTTGATAGTCATTCAATAGCACCGATACGTCAATATGAGCTAACTATATTATGAAATATTTAACATTTAAACAAGTACGCCCAGCGCGTAGCATGGCAGTACATGGTATATTACGAAAAATGTGACGAGAATGATCTGATAGGTGTGCGTGTGAGATGTATGCTTTCGTCTTCATTTCATATACACACCCACATCCAAATGTTTATATTTGCTTGAAATAATTATGATTAAAATTACATTTAATTGAAATTATGCGTAGAATTATATTAAAGGAGACATCTGGGATAGTAATTTAAGTTATATTCAATTAGATACATATGATCTTAATTTTTAATTAAATTAAATTGAGCTTTGATGGAAATTATATTGAAAGAAATATCTCGATATATCTTTGAAGTAATATTAATACCAAATTGTAGATGGTAATCGATCAGTCAAATTTGATAAAAATTATTAAGGACCAATAAAATGTTAAGTTATCAAGAAAATATTAACCGGATAGTTAATCTTGAAATACCAAATGGCTAGCATCAATTATTGTATGCCCGCATTTTTTATTTCTTCCTCCTTTATATTTTACTTTATTCTGTTTTAATTTTTGAATTGTGCTTATATATTGTAATCTAGAGTCGTGATGAGGTCTTTATTACTGAGATTTTATCAAAGAACAGTTTTAAATAATATTTAATCTTCGACTCAATCGATGTATTTTTTAACTCATTTTCTCACACCCTAAACCATCGGATGAGATCTTTTTACCCGATTCAAACGCGCCATGGTAGCTGTTGCGTATTTCAATCAACTTCTTCAATACAAGATTCGGCATCATACTATGATGTAGAATCAAAAAGAGCAACTATGTCGAAAATAAAAAGATCCAGAATTCAATGACTAAATCAGAAAATATTCAAAGAATGATCGTCTAACTATCGTTGCAAGTCCTTGGACTTAAATTAAACTGAAAATTTCGAAGAACCAATAACAGAGTGGGAACTCTCGGTCTCGATCTCGATTACTTTTGATCAAATTTTATAAATTACACAAATACATGCAAACATGTGACCTGACGTGTGCCAATACGCAAGCATGTAAAGCAATTTATTTCAGACGGCTTTTCTTTCAGTAGAGAGAATATATATCATGTTTTTTTGTAACTCAAATTTGATTTTGAATCTCAAAGCAAATATTTATCATCTTGCAATGAACTGGAAGAAAAATTGTTTGTTTACTATGATTCTGCGGTGAAAAGTGATTTATATACTATAAGTTCATTTAGTCGAATGTTTTCATATTAGATTTATAATTTTGACAACTTCACGCCAAACAACTATAAATAGGATCATCTTTATTCTATTCGTAGCAACCCAGGAGATTCAATCCGACCAGTGGATCCGATCGTTTCCGGCATCGGACCCTATGGATTCCGTTGCTTTTCGGTCGGCTCCGTTGAATTCCGACGATTTCCTAACTAACGGATTCCGGTCCGGTTTCCGCAGAAAAAATTCCGTTAAGTTCCGCAAAATTTCGACCCTAAATTCGTAGGAAATCGACGGAACCGATGGGAATTGATCGGAAACGGTCCGACGAAATCTGGACCGGAATCCGTTAGTTAGGAAATCGTCGGAATTCAACGGAACCGGGTGTGGGTGTGGGTGTGAAGCGAAGAAAAAGCATACATCTGCACCCTCTTTCTGCTTCGGAAATCTCTATTTAGTGACCGTTTGTGTACTCGTGTGCAAATTAAAAGAGAGAAACAGTTTAAATATTCGTATAATTTGAATCGACGCTTCGAAGAATATATCTCCATTGTCAAGATTTTATGGTATAAAACTAATTGTTCTGCTATTGCTCTTATAGACAAATAGGAATGTGATTCTTAATATCTTCTTGAAACATTGCTGGGGCAAATAAAAGCTTTTGTTTATCTCGATGCCATTTCCTTGGTCATTCGATCTTGTCACCGTCTAGTGTGATTTTTACTGTTGGTTTTTGTTTAATTGCTAACAATTCTCGTACAAGAAGACGTAACATTTCGAATCTTTATCAATTATTTTTGTGTATTCTCAATTAATTTTGTGGTAATGATCTTATGCATGTTTCATCAAGACCGATTGCGTAAGTTTGAATTTTTTTTCGACATTATCTTGATCTAGTTGTTGATTGGATGGATAAGGAGTGATGCGATATCGATCGATCTGCTTACTTATGCATTTGGGTCTGATAATTTTTTCTTATGGAACAATTTGTCTTTGTATTGGAGGGTTGACCTAGTTTTTGTAGATACCGTTGTATTTGTCGGATTGTTTTACTGATGTACTTTTCATGACAGTCTTGACAGACCACTTCGCATACCACACGTGTTTGAAGTGGAATATAGCTATTTTGTCCTTTGTTGTGAATAGTGTTGAGATTGCTGATGGTGGACATGGAATTGGTTGTAGTTGTGCTTGAAATGACGCAACTCTCTTGGATGTGAAGTGTGAGTGTCTGTCTATAATGACTTCATGTTCAGGCCCACACCCACACCTTCGAATTCGTCTATTGTTCTCTGAGTAACAGCTGTATCTCTCACTTTGTTATTTGCTTTTTTCCGATTACTCTCACCACATCCAACCATAGGATTTAATATTTATTTTACATAAGCTCTCTTTTTTTTTATTTAGAATTTATTTCATTTTTTTATCATACGCAGTTGAAACCAGCAACGTCACTAGATCGAGATGATGAACAAAGTGAACGACAACAGCACCATAAGCTCATCATCCTTCTCTCGTCAACTCATAATGTGACGATCACAATAACAACGGAGAGGTATCGAAAAATCACTATTGAATTTAAACTGAACTATACAAAGCGAACATTTGCAGTTCAAGATTAAAAAATAATTCTATTGATTATTTACTACCCCTCAATCTTCTTGATATTTCGATTGAAGATTGCTGCGTCAGAAAAATACCATCAATAATAATTGACTCATTTTCAGCATATCTCATCAATTAAGTGAATTATCATATTCCGACATGAGTCTTTTTCGTCTTGGTTGCTTTTACCGTTGTTTCCTAAGCAGCTACAACGTGTATCGATCTTCGTTAAGGGTCAGACAAATAGGGTTTTATTCTGATACAGTAGAGGATTTCAACGTTACAGCGTTCAATTTCACTTTCATCGCTGTAGGCACAACATTAAATGCAGGTTTAATAAAGGACACAGAGAATTTCAAAATATATGGGCGACTTGGAAGAGTTCAGGAGTCTTAAAAATGAATACTTGAAGTGTATTTTAATAATAGAATTCAAGTTATCAAATAGAACACTACTGTCCGAAATTCTATTTTATTTTTGCTAATCAGCAAGAAAAAATGCTAACAATAATTTAAGCAAGAGTTCGTTTTTCGCACTAAGATCACCACTATGATAAAGATTTATGACGAATATAACCACTGAAACTTGTTTGAACACGTATTGATTGAATTTGAAAATAATGATTAATGATATCTTTAAATTTTTGAATAGTCTCTTCATGCGAGCAAACTATTTCAATCGCACCAATCGATGGTTTCTTATCTGTCATTGACGGTTTTTCACTTGAAATATTTTCAATAACAGCAATCAGTTGTCTATTGCCATCGGATTCTTCAAACGTGACACATGTTGCACAACTAACAAGTGAGTTCAATTGTTCATAAACATTTTGATCACAACCAGTACATACAATCAGAAGGTCCACTTCTCTTTTCTGAATTAATTCTCGATGAAAAAAGCCTTGCTGAAGAGAAATATAAGTAACATGCAAATAATTATCGAGTATACTGGCAGTTATTTGTGATAAGGGACTATTGATGTCACTTCGAATACATAATTCTTTTCGGCTTTTACCTGTTGTTTTATCGAAAGCTTCTAATAAAAGTCTGCCAAACTCAGCATCACATCCATGGTCGAGAAATACCTGTTCATCGGCATATATTTCAGTAAAAATAAGTTTTGTTTTGGTTTCATCGCCATATCGAAATACATATGTGTATACTTTAGGATGATCACGATGCACAATATCTGCCATCCGAGCCAAAGATTCAAGGATCTTTGTTGCTGTTGATTCTGAAGTTGCATCGAACTCGACATGTAATAATAAAGTCATCGTTTTTTTTCTTCTGTCTGTTTCACACAATAACAACGACTGAAATAGGACGCAATAGCATTCTATTGACTTTATGAGTCATGCGAACAACCTTTATCATAACATCCATATAAGGTAATATACATATATACATGGTGATGACGCAGAGGGTTGTCAATAATACAGATTTAGAAGATCATCTCCACATAATATTTGTCATTTGATACATCAATTTCTCATCAGTATAGTTGTTTATAATGATATAATTGAGTAATACGATATAAAATTAAAATAAATCCAGAGGTTCATTTCTCTAGTTCTATGAAACAGACTAGAAAGAATTTAGATAAGCCTTGCTTTAGCCATTATTATTCCTATTTAAATTGGTGTGTGAACATTCGGAATCACTTGAGTTGAAAATGCGAAGGTATAGGTGTAGTCTAAGTGAACATTTAAACTCACATCTCGTCACACACCCATATACCCACACCCACAATCACAAAAAAAATAATGATCGTATCTTAAATAAGAGCGTGAGTATCGATGTGAGACTGAATGAACTGAAAACCCATACCCTTATGTAATAGGATTAGACGAAGCTCGTAATAGTTGCGGAAATGTAACCGTAAACATGAGAAAGTCTCCATTTTGGAGACCATATTCACCCAGTTTTAAATGGTCGATACTTCCACCTACGAAACGTTGATCGATTTCCAACTCATTTTCTCCATAAGCGCTCAGGAGTTCATCACGTAGTAAATCCGGTTTGTTCCATATCATCAATATTTTGCATTTTCCATCTTTACTTGGAAATGGCATTCCCATGTGTTCAATTAAACATAGCTTAAGCGCGGCAATTTTATGGTCTTGATGTGCTATCACTGTTGCTGGAAAATCAGTCGACGCATGCCGCACTCTGAATTGTATACGTTTTTCCACAGAATCACTCATATCTGCATCAATTGGAATAGATATGATAGGTTCAGGACCCATGGATGCAGGACACCGAATTCGGGTTGGATCAGGTGGATCGTTATCAGGAAAACTACTCTCATTCTGATTATATATTTTAGTCGGCATATTTCTGACGATATTACCCATTTTAGAACGAAAGCTAAATGAGAATGTGACATAATCTTACAGTAAAATGTATACGTGTCAGATGAGTCACGTTTCTGTTTTGTTCTGTTGCTTTTTTTCTTTCTTTCTCGATATGACTGACGCACTCTCACTCTCTTCTTGAGAAGTGCGACCATGAATCGAGAAAACATTATAGCTATTTTATTATGAATAAAGTAACCATCGGATTTCCCAAGCTTTTATAAAGTCCAATGAACATAATATAGGGAGTGGGAAAATGTTTAAATGGCGTTCGCTGATCTTCAAATAGCATGGAAAGAGTGCAAATACTTTCGATATTATATAGGTTACTGAGAAATTTTCCCATTCAATTAAAGTTACTAATTTTCGCTACTATAACAATGTTCTCCTACGAATATGAAATATTAAATTCAAGAAAAAAGAGTATCATCTATCAGCATACCGTTGATGTTCTATACTGTCTTAGTCTTTTTGTGCATTCAATAGTTGAGATCATTTACATTTTCTCGGTTGGTTCTTTTTGTTTTTCATATCCTTCTTCACAGGCTACATGGCTACATACATATAACATCGAATATATGTATGTAGAAAGGAAAGAGATAAGAGCTATAGCATAAGATCAAGGTAAACTTGTCAATTTGTGCTGTTGGCCAATCAAATTTAGTCGTAAAGGTTCCAATAATAAGCAATATAATAATACATACTTTGTCGATTACACTGATCTAAAATACATTAAAACTTCTCTTTTTTCTTTTTCAGAATTGCATGTAGCATGGGTTGTGTTTATTTTGAAGAACAAATGGACATGAGTACAGTGTTTGTAAGATAAAAGCAAGTTTCAGACAAACAAGACTAGTCTTATTTGTGAATACGACGAATTTTATTATAATATGGTTTAGTGAAAAGTGAATAAAGTTTAGAACAAATATGCGGCGAGAATGCTGATTTAAATTGCAACAATAAACTCAGGTATATGATAAGATGTGAGTTTTTCTCTCAGTTTTAAGACCATGGAATTTCAAACGAGGGATCTAGTGGTTATAAATATAGCTTGCATTTAATTGATTCGCACTTGTGGTGTAACCCATACTTGAGAAACAACTCGTCGAAACAGCTTCATTTTTCGATACAAAAGCATGCTATTCCAAATGATAAATTATAAACTGATAGTGAGTCCGCCATAGAGAGAAACCAGTGATGTCACTACATACAATGCATATCTATGCTCATCATATCTGTAGCTACACATAGTTGGTGCGCATGCAGCATCATAGTTATCATAGGTAGTGCTATTTTCTCACTTCTCGATGAATAACTCATCGATAATTGCACCGATCAGTGTCATCGATGAAAACCGAGATGGAATCGACTTATTTAGTGGATCAAGAAACAAAGGAAGCACTCCAGGCAAAGTAAAATTGACCGGGTATGACTTATCTGGTGACGTATAGTATTGCAGATAACTAAAAATCGTGTTGGCACAATTAGACGAGAAGAAACATTCGAGAGTTGACACGCGTAGTCCATCCATTGGTAAACAACCGATCACGAGGCCTGGTAAGATAAGGCCAGGAGAAACAACTGTCAATGGTTCATGACAATTGGTTGAAACAGTACAGTTGCATGTGCCATTAGCATATAATCGTGGAATATTACGAAAGAGATAGCCATTGGATGCGTTACCGTATTCTATCGACCAATCTGTACCAAAGACTGACGGTATTAAATTGGCCGCAAGTAACAGTGGTGGGGAAACCATCAATCGTTGAAAATCAAGTGGCGTCTGCTTGATTAGTTGTTTGATAATTACATTCGCTTGTGATTCAAAGACATCTCGAGATAGCAATAGTGTACTCACCAAGGTTGCCATGTTAAATTTCAACAGAACATGGCCCACAGTGCTTTTTGATGCTACCGATCAACTGATGCTGTTTACTGAGAAAAGGTCAATCACGTTGTAGAATGCTATTGGCTTTGGGCCTATATCCGTATACGGTTGTAGTCCAGATGAGAGCGATGGATGTACTAGAGCACACCTAAGTCAAATCAAACAGTTATCATTCAAAACAAAAGTCCAAATTAACGAGAGCATTGAACTTTGAAAGTTGTGGGTGTGTGAGAGTGAAGAGAAATGGTGCACACCCACACCAAACTCAGAAGTCGAGTTTCATGACGTTTATGTCAACTATTACATGGCTAATTTACGAATACGATCAAAGTTACTATCACGTGTAAAAATTCAAAAGGATTTTCTAATTAATAAATCGCTCGCATCTAAGATCAGTGGAAAAATTAACCATAAGACATTTTATCTTGTGTTACGCTGTGTCAAATGTTTATCAAATACGTCGAATCGATCTTTATTCTGAAAGCTATATAAGACTAAATCAATAGTCATTGTTTATATATATTACCTGATGATATGAAGCTATCATGGAAACAAAGGTACCATAGGGTACGGCTATTTGTTTACATGAGCATGATAGCGTACTTGTATACTGAGCATGTAGTGTAGTGTATCGTAAATACCAAGAGAAAGTGATTGCGCAGTAGCAGAAATAGTCGTCAAGTTCAAGCTATTGAACAGTGTAAGAATGGCAACGCTCGAAGCCAATAATACGACATCGATTCGGCTAGATATGATAGCCATATGTTGTGCGTTCTCAATTTGACTGACTCTCAATTTTGTTCTGAAGAAGTTCATTTTTCTTAACGTTTCTATCAAAGTGGTTGTGAAAGAAACTGATTGATTGATATTTCCTAATAAAAAGTAAAAGATGAATGATAATATTTTAATTTTTACAAATTGCTATCAAGTGACTCCCACAGGGCGTGGGTGTGGGTGTTGGCTTGCTACATGAATAATAAAACCCACACCCACACCCTCAAGGTGATCAAGCACTGGAAATTTTCTTTTATTTTCGAAGTCTCAAATTTTATATAAAAATCTGTCAAAAACACATGATGAGGTATTTCAACAAGCACACTAACACGTTATGGTCTTGTCGGAATTTTGAATATGAATCAATATGAATTAGGACGATTTTAGAAGCTTTGAATAACGAACATAAGCAAGTCTGTTATGGATCAAATACGGGATTCTCGACCACCATCATCCGAATGCGTGATGGTTGACTAGGTATGTGATGAATCGTTTGATTGGCTACAATAGATGGTTGAATGTCAGTTGCAATTGGACCACCCGTATTTGGATTCACGCTGTGCCATGGATAGAAACTGCTTGTAATTGTCATTCTAATACGGTGCAATGGCATAAATGTATGTCCAATTTCATTTAGATCTATGCTAACGAAGTAAATTGAACCAGGTACCATAAGAACTTCACGATCTAACCCCTCTCGATAACGTAAGCGAAGGGAACTGGAGAATCCCGAACCAAGCTTGATCGAACGACCATCTGGCATGACATCTATCATATGAATTACCAAATCTGTATCTTGTGCTGTACTCGAAAATGTCAATTCGAAGATGATGTTACCAATCACTGTCAGAGAACTATTTAATATTTCACTAGTGTAAACAAGAATATCATTTCGATCTAGAAGATCATTTATGTCAACAGGTAGTTCATACTGTTTCTTAGTCATATCGATCATGAGCGGATTACTAGGATCATAGCGATACTGGTCAATCATGGTAGTAATTGGTGGCGTCCATTGAAGACGCCCATCGCCTGAGATGCTGTTCGCATGCCCTTCGCTTGTCAAAAATATGAATTTTTCGTAAGCGTTCTCTGGTGGAAAGATGTTGAGTGTCATCCAGTTGTTACTTCCAGTCACAAAGATTCTAATCGGCTTCCATTCCGGTCGCGGCTTGTCTTTTAGACACCATTCATAGAATTGACGGGTCATATCTCTAGCTGGTAAAAGACCATTATCAGGCACTGCAATGTCGCCTACAGTTGGTACTGGTTCATTTGTCATATAATCGTATCCACCATCGGGTGCAGTGCCATGTGAATAAGGGCCAATGAATAAAAAGTGGTCTGCTTTACGAGATGAAAAGCGACGTGCTCCCTGATGATGCTCGACTGTACCGGACAGTGTGCTATCAAACCAACCAGTAAATGCGAGTGTCGGGATTGTAATGACCTCGAAATCCTTTGCGGTGAAATCAATCAAGTGCCAAAAATCGTCCAATGTGGGATGACCAAGAAAGGTTCGATAAAGAGGTAACTCACGACCAGTCGCATAAACGTCTAATGTGTGAAGGGGACGATGATTCAACCATGTCATGGGATCCGGATGAGGATTCACCGCTGGCGACCGCGCGATATCTAAAGCAGATCCAATCCAATTTAATGACCATAGCAATGCAAATACACCATTATTATAAGGTACTCCATCCATCGGACCACCTGGTGACGTGTTCGGTGTAATACATGACAGATGTGGTGGACGTTCACGCGCAGTATACCATTGATTTCCGCCCGTATAAGAGCCCCCACGCATACCAACACGTCCGTTTGACCATGACTGATGTGCAATCCACTCGATCAGATCGTATCCGTCTTTACCGTCATTAACAAAAAATTGAAATTCGCCTCCAGAGTCACCAGTACCACGCACATCAGCGATTACAAAAGCGTAGCCATGTGAGATCCAATAGCTAGCTTCATTACGGAAGTTGGGCCGTTCGAGAATACGACCATAAGGTGTAATCTCGATAATGGCTGGATATTTACTTGTTGGTGAAGCCAGAAAATAGTCGACGACAAGCTCAACACCATCGCGCATTGGAACGCGTTTCGTATGAAATGGTGGTTCGACATCTTCATTGGTGACTATCTTCGCTAAAAACGAGAAAAAACTATTTAAATAAAATGATAAGAAAATAGCACACATGTTTTGTTTGTAATAAAATTATCAGGATCTTGCCATGATTTTTGTCCTTTGAGAACAAGGATCAAGTTGAACAAATATAACAAGAGAAGAGTAGTGTTGAGAATTCTGTCCATATCTAAGATGGAAGAAAGACGTGAGAGAGAAACATAATGAGAGGCGGTTCGAATTTGAGTGATTATCATATCAACATCGGAAGATAGCCACGAACCACTTTTGCCAAAATTATCCGAGTTTAATTCTACTCACTTTTAGGATACTCGTTTTTGTTTTTCACTGGGCGTGCTCAATCTAGCACATAGTCAAACATTTGACTACAATATGACACTAAACTAAATATTTTGCAGTTTTTATAATGAAAACAAGAAGAAATAAAGAGAAGCTAATCCGAAAAGAAATAATTCAAACGCAAACATGAATTTATAATACCTACTCTCAAGTAAAAGTTACTTGTATTGATAACAAAGTTACCTTTAAAATAATATTTACCAAGTACATAGATCATACCCTTTGATAGCTTAGCTCATACTTATTGCACAAAATAAGACAAATACATATGTTTTGAAAAACTCTTACGAGATGCAATATAGAGGCCCTTGGTATATTGTGTCTATATGGGTGTGTTAGAAAACTCTAGTGTTATATATTCTAAGTTTAATACAATGCGTTTCAATACCTGTTCGAGATCATCATTATCACGTATATTTTATGAATCTATATAAACTAAAAAATATAATATAAAGAATTAGTTAGTATATGTGGAAAACCTCATTGAATGGGAAGGAAAAGTTTCGATAACTGTGGATTAAATGGATGCAGCTGGGTATCTAGACAGTATGAATCAGCAATAAAAGATTCAATTTGTAATTCTGTAAGAAACTTAGATTCTTTGTCTGAACAAATAGAGCAGAATGAATTGATTAGAACGATTTATTATTAGTGAAGCTAATGAAATTGCTGCAAGTCCTAGAAATATTGAATGTTAGGTTTATCGTCGTCGTCACTGTTTTCGTTGACCATATCTAATATGGTTAAATAGCGGGCATCTTCATGTTTTAAATCATCATCAGTATAGTTCGTATTGGGTGAAATTTTCCTTTTATACTTGTCAGTTGAATTATCATGGTCAACCGAAAATAGTATCTTAGTGAAGTCACCATTGAGTGTGGTACGTTGTATGTTGCTTCGCTGACGATTTACTCTCGTAGTCTCATGTATCATGGATTTTGTTGTTGTTGTTATTCTTGATTAAGGCCAAGCCACTTTTTCTTACTATTGTCAACGATGTCAGTACTTCTCTCGATGTAGAACTGTGACATTGGTATTCTGTTGCAGTGGGCGAAAGATGTTTTCTTCGTTCATAATTCAGAATAATCCTTCGTTATTTTACTGGTTCTAGCTGTATCGTTGCTCACTAAATATTTCAGGCTAACCTAATCTAGACAAAATAGAATAGTATTTTTCTCCTCTCCGGAAAACAAAAATTAACTATTTCCTCGTCTCTATTTATGCAGTGTATAGTGAAATAAATTGGATGATCACAAAGCATCAGTATTGTATAAGAATATGAAAAGCTGCGCATTTAGGTCTCTCATTGTGCACACATTTTCGAAAATGTTTCAATTACATTCCATTGATTCAATGTTTTGCTCTTCTTCTAAATTTATCTTTTCCAATAGTACACACGGGTCATTTGTTTCGCACGTATGTGTAGCTTTGATAGGTGATGGCGGCCTATGAATACTAATCCATGCTTCTAAGGCGGCTAGTTTTTCTGCATCTCTCTTTTTTGGAGCCCATTCACCTGTATAAATCATTCCATTCACTTCAACTTCAACCTAAACATATAAGTGAACAGATAAACTTTTGTATTGCACATGACACTTTACTTGAAACATTGGAGAATGATCAGGACCGGCTTTTTCCAGTAATGTATAGACTGGTAATGGTATATAGTGTCCTTGACAATACTCTTGTAGGCGATTTTTTGCACAATCGACGTCTACAAAATCCGTACATTGGGGCATGTCACTTAAGATAATCTGCAAACAACTCAGATATATTGATCGAACAAATTTTTGGCAATTATAAACTGAAACTATGAGGCACAGTTCGTTTATGGCTATCAAAGGGGATATGCAGAAATAATCTTGAGGGTGTATGTACGTGCCCATGTCTAGAATATTAATATTGATACTAACACCCATTTTCTACAGGAACTCATATTATTCCAAATCATAGCGTCTAAATTAGTAGTGTATTGCAAGCAAAGGAAAAGTAAACAACAGGTTAAAAAGCATGAATCGTAACAGAACCAAGGAACTAGTTGAAATCAGTGAAAAAGAAGTCACAGATCATCATAGACGATGTTTTCTATGATTTTCCCATGAGCTGAATTAAGTACAGACACGCATGGCAACGCATATATCTTAAATCTACTATGGCATTAATTGAGTTCTTCAAGAAAAAACAATTCTTGAAATACCTAATCTAAATCGCTCAATACCAATTCATTTTTAGTAATTCTCACTGATTATCAATTAAAACTCTTTAAGCATACATGTGACTTTACCCACTAATACTGTAGAGATGCCGTTCGTTAATTTTTCGAATATGCAGATATGAAATAAAACATTATGTTACATTAGTTGAAATAGTATTTTTATGTAAACATGACCTAAGGAATATAAACGAGGATGTTACTTTATTTAAACGTCGAAATAAATAAACAAAAACTTTCCGTAATACATGAAGTCAGTGGTGAAATTGTGGATATGAGAACATTATATAGGAAATCTTTCCTTACCAAACATATTTTTTCTTGCACGGACCTGTACTGTGTTGGCATATGCAAGAGAATAAATAAATATGTTGCTCCAATTCTCATTTTCTTCTGACTTTCATGGCTGTGCCCGTAAAGGTGAAGAAAAGCGATAAGTTTCTTTGTGCGTTTGCCTCATTACAGTTTTTCTGCGCACATGGCCGCGTCGGATAAGGCAGTCAACAAAAAGTCTTTCAAGCATTTGAAGTTGATTGAAGTTCTAAGAAAATACTCAAAAATTCAGCTCGAACACATAATGGAAAATTGTTTTATTCTGATATTTAATGCTTTTAAATTCGCTCGATATTCATTTCTTTTAACATCTTCACTGATGACTAGATAAATTTTCATTTCATTTGAGACAATATTCTAGATCACACGAACGAATATCAATCGGAAAAGGCTTCGTTTTTTCATTCCACCATTTAGTGATTATAATAAAAATTTCAAAGCAAAGTCGTTTTTCGCAGCCATCAAGTGCAATCAATGTTGAAATTTTGTATTATTCTATTGTTTCCTTCACCATTTATGTAGAAATGACCCTCTCGTTCAAATAACAAACTTACAGAGTTCATTCGACTCATTTCGTTGCATGGTTGCTTGATGCCAACGCATTATTCAATGATCCGAATAATCAGCTTCATAAATAGTACTTAACTAGTCCATGACAACCCTGAAAGGACTTAATAATTGTGTAAGAATTGCTCCTGAACCTTGACCACTAGCGGAGGTGTGTACCAATGTTAACGTTATAGACATCCGCACCCTCAAGATATTTCTATGCACAAGGTCGATTATAGTTGAATCAAAATGATCAATAAAAATTGTGAAAAAAAGAAATCCAATTATATTTTGACCTCTTCATTGAGGATACTACGGTTAGCACGTGATTTAGTGGGCATCATGTTGTAAATCCAATATTATTTTTATTGTTTCCTCTTATTGTTACACTCGATAGACTACTTGACTGCTGACTATGTCTTTTTAACTAGAATATTCTCATGTATGCTTGTATATATCAATAGAGTCTTACTCAAATATCATCCGTATCTCATAGAAAATCATATGGAATTTAGAGCGAAATAATACTACTCATGTACTTTATGTTGCGTTGGCATAGTCAATGCAAAAGTGCACGGCTAGAATGTGTTGATTTCTTTCTTTTTTTCTCTGCTTGATTTAACTCTGATTTCGCACTTCTTTTATTTCTCGTCTAATCGCTCGAAAGATACAGATAAGAATATATTCCAGTAGATTAATCATCAAGAGGAACAAGACGGATTTTTGGGATTTTGAAAATCCCAAATCCGCCTTTTCCCCCTTGTTAATCCTTCTAGTAACGACAGAAAAAAAACTTAATTCAACAGATTAATTGCGTATTCTTCGCTTAACTGAGACTGATTTATGCTTACGATCAATTTTGTAAGTGCACTATTCACATTCCATCATATTTAAAGCGTTATACTGTCAGAAATCGAGAAAATCAATTTGTTTCCCTCTTTCCTCCGTTTCTGTGTGACCAACTCATAAGAATCATATAATTGATGGTAAGTCCTTGCAACTTTCATAACAACAATTCGGTTTGTTTTTGCTCTCTTAGTCTTCCATATTTGCTTGGGTGATGTGATGAATATATGTGATCAATCATTTGCTGCATTTGCTTATTGGTTAAACAAAAAATACAATAATATTGTAACATAGAAAAAAATTATAGACTAGTCAATCTTCTTTTTTTTAAGAATTCGAATCATAATGACTTTCTACACTTGAATTAAAAGATAAATATTGTTTATACTCGATCTATGTAAAAACAAAAGTAGCTTTGCTAAGAAATAGTTCAGATCTCTGATAATCATCCTATCACATGCAGACGCGTCTATTTATTTTGTTTTTAGAGATGTAGTGACCTTGTATTTTCGATTAAATCGACGATCATGATTACTTCTCTTGTTTATTCTATACACTATGTATTTATAGATAGATAGATCAAGCATTGCGTGAGTCTCATAATGAATTATCGTGAAAAGAAACACATGATAAGACACCGATTTGAGTGAATGACTGGCTTAGAGAACACCCGTTATATTTACCATTGAGATAGAAAAGAAAATCTTATGAAGTGCATCTATTATCATGGGATAATAATTTTCTTCTTTGCGAATATCTCATATACAAACGTATCTATGTCTATTCAATCATGTATTATTTTAGACTTAGTCAAATCGCTGAACAATCTATTGAGTATTCTTGTTTTCTTCTAGACGCAAATCATCCAATGGGATATAAACATGCAACTCATTTTGTCTGTCTTCTGTTTATTATTGTAAATAGTATGTATAAGGCCTTGATAAAAAAAAATTTTCTTTTTTAGTAAATCTCATATTAGTAAATACTCAATCGAATATAATTTCAACACAAGATCAAGTTACTACTTATGTTAATCAGACTGCTAAACTCTCGTGTATTATAAAAAATCGCAATCAACGGCATGTAAGTCAAAATATTGATTCTGATTGAAACAAATTAAATTTTAGGTAACATGGTCTCGTATTCATCTCATAAACGAAACTCAAAAATTAACGTATCTCCTATATGTCGACTTACTTAAATATACATCATTAAGTCGTTATCATTTAACATCCACAGTTGATCAAGATAATAAAGAATATTGGAATCTTGAAATACATCAAGTTCATTTATCTGATCAAGGTTATTATAGTTGTATTTTAGCAGCAGTTCAACCAATATCAAAGTTATTTCATCTTAGAGTTATTGGTAAGAAACTTCTTCTGATGCAAAAGCAAAACATTAAAGCAATTTTCATAAAAAGAAAAACATTTTTCTTCTATAAAGATAATCCACGATATCTTTCACTTTCTTTAGATTCAACATTCGATATGCAACGAGAACAGATGATTTCATCATTATCATTAATTGATAGATCAGTATCAACGATATTTTTAACAATTATTTTACTATTTACAATATAAAATTCGTGAACTTTATTTAATGCAACGTTTCAGATCACACAATTGTATTTGAAAGAAAAATATTGAAACAGCTCATCTTTCGTTAATGTTCCCATAAATGATATATTTTAGTCAAATAATATACTGGTGAGATTATCGATTTTTGTTGAATTTCATGTAACCGATCTATATAAATGCATCTCGAAATATGTCGAGTTGTCATATAATAAAACTTTCATTCTCTTGAATTTCGGCAAAAATAAAACAAACAATGTATTAACGTCGGTAGCAAATAAATCTTCGTAATCTATTGTAAGTTTCTATCTCAAGATAGCAAAGTGATAAAAACTTCTATTTTCACTGAAATTTGTAAACTAGAATGTTTCGATTTAATTTTGCTCGTAATATCCTGTCTAAAAATAGAAGCTTGATTCAATCGATAATTAAATTCTTGATACAACAATTTGCACCACTGGTTTTTCCGTGTATTCATCTTTAATTAATTCTCTTAGTTTCTCAACAATCTGTCCTTTTATCGAATGAGCATCTCGATTTTGTGTCCATTCAAAGTTTTTCAAATGATCCATTAACCACGATGGTTCCATTAGCATAAAGTCCAGATCGAAACTCATTGGTACTTGATGAATATGAATTGCACACGATTCAAGTTTAATTCCATGTTTATACGCTGTTTCTTCTAAAAATTTTCTCGATCGGACTGATTGCTTTTTTGTTTCGATTTTTCTATTTGTTGTCGAAAAATAATTTGGATATTTGAAATAAGTTAATGCATCATTAATATATGCTTCTAATCTTTGATTATTATCGAAATTTTCGGTTTCATCGAACGCATGATACCATAATGTATAAAGAAAATAACCCGTTTTAGGTTTGAGTAACTTTGATACGATCGGGTAAATATCATTTTCAGACATTAAATGCATTGAAGCATTGCAAAGAATAAAATCGAAAGAGTCTCGAGGTAAATCAGACGTTGATAGACAATCTTCAGCAGACATTTGATATACATGAGGAGTCTTTATGGTACCTCGTGCAAGTATACACATTTGCTCTGCTGGTTCAACAAGATATAACGATGATGGTGATATGTGAAGAGTTTGAATCAATAATTTCGAAACTAAACCGGTTCCAGCAGCTAAATCAATGATACGAAAATCTTGAACTTTATTTGTTTGATGTTTTTCTACAAATTTGACGAGACCCATTGCCATATCTGTAAATATTTGATAATTATTAACCAATATCTCATACGCATCAGCACGCTTATGCCACGAATCAATTACTTCCTTGCGGTTATTATCATTCATTGTATTTTATCCAGAATAAGCAAAAAAAATAAATAAAACATTTCTTAATTTTTCTCCTGTATTTTCACCTAACAAGAAATTTTAGCTGAAAATTATTATGATTGGTTAAATTTTTAAGCCAAACAAAACATTTTTGTATAAAGTTAAAATTGACTGATTACGTTAGTATTAGAGAACATTGAGCGAGTTTCAACGTGTGGTTTCCATCAATACCAAGGGTGATTTCAGCAGGTAGCAGCAGGACTTTTACTTTAGTTAAAATTCGAATAGAGAAAAAATTAACTACGAAAATAACTTCGACGAAAGTTCTTTTTTTTTCTTTCTTTTGGATATAACCAAGAAGCATATGTTTCTTCTTATTCGTTTATTGAATACTCATTCGATTCGCCATTCTAGTAGAAACCGTAAATTTTTTGCTAACCTGAAAAAATATTATCGTTCAACAACGTTCAATCTATTTATGGCATCGAATAATCAAACTTGTTTTATCTTTGATAAAGATGAATCAACGAAAATCCTCATTCAAATGGCTTATGAAATTCCGTCAACACGAATACGTCGTCAATTTAATTTATTACGTTCCACTGATGAATCTGTTTCACAAACTATACGTCGTTTAACAGCGAATATTGAACATACTCTAATGAAAGAAAACAAAGCGAATAAACGTCGTCAAAAACAACACACCGATGTGAAATCTGATAATGAAAAACAAACGATTCTCGTACAATTATTTGATAGTAACGATCAACTCATTGATGAAAATCAAACTAATAATAAGCAAGCCTGGATTAATTGTAAAAAATTATTAATTAATGAACAATCGTATAATGTTGAATACAATGCGCCAGGTTGCTTTTTTTTCTTAGTGCGATAATAGAATAGTTAATTTTTTTTGTTTAGCTGTTATTAAATTTCGTTTTCCTGATATTATTATGACTAATTGAAAATTTTGGCAAATTAGATTGATGAATATCAGCAGTGATTTCGTTTTGTATGTTCGTCCAATGCTCCATGTTTCTTATTGAATATTCTAATTACTTGCCAGTGATTTAAATATATTCAAACTAGTTGACTCAGGATGAATGAGCCTTTTGCTTTCATCAAAAATGCCCTATCAGTTAACCATCATAATTATCACAGAAAAAAAAGAAGCGACAAGAACAATAACGCAAAACAAAACAAAACACGAAAACAAAGAGTGAGAGAAGTAGAGAGGAGTCCATGAGCATGAACAGAAAAACGTGTGCAGGTATAAGAAAAAGATACGATTATGAAGACTGCTAAAATACCTGTGCATATATATGTTTGCACTCTCATTATTGTCGTCAACGGCATTATCTTTGTCATGTTCTGACTTCGTCATATTATTTGTAACTGTAGAAAGCAGTTTCTTTTTAATTTTTGACTAATTCATACAGAAGCAATATATATCATTTTGTGTTTAATCCATTCATACAGTTAGGAATAATAGGCCTAACATATAAACTAGCAAAGAAAACGAAGACGTTTTTTCTCATTATGAGTTTAGAAAATTGAATTAAATCAATCAGTCCATACTTCAAAATTATGACATTCATATTTCTGAAGAAGTTTCTTGTTGAATGCATCTCAAATTCCTTTTAAACCTAACGAAATTTGAATTTCAGTATTTCCATCAATGATGAGGGTATGTATACGTTGACTCTCATGAGACGAATATATACAAAAAAATTGTTTCACAAAAAACACTTAGTAGATAGATATATGCACAAAATTCTGAGTAGACTTTTTTCCATTTCGATAGACTGCTCTCGCTCGGCTAGGAATCTTGAAAAGAATTTCTTGTTCACTATTCTTTTCAAATGCATTGACTTTCTCTCTATATATTCATCTAGACTTAGTCTATTTAGGTATCAAAAACATCGGTTCACAGGTATGAGTTTGTTTTACTAGCAAAAGTATCGAATATTTAAGGGCTAAAACTTTTGTACCTTCCTGTTTGTCAAAATAAATTCATTTTTTTTTGTTGTTTTGAAAAACACCGACTAGCGATAAAAATAATATCTGACATATAGATGAAACAAAAGAAGAATAAAGGTCAGTCATAAATTCATTCAATTATACATTCATGAATGACGGTATATTTTTCTTCCGTTGAAGTCATCCATTCACTATAGCCAATCAAAGTAGACGGCATTAGCAAACAATGAGCGTCTGGGTATATATATATATATATATACATACATAATAAGAAATATATTAGTTAAAATTAATATGAATCAATCTAAGGTTGGCCTCCTTGATTTACCTGATGAAATATTACTTATGATTTTAAAAAAGCTCGACAATATCGATGTTCTTTATTCATTGTTGGATGTTGATAATCAACGACTTGATATTATAGCTCAAGGAAATATTTTCATTAATACTCTCAATTTTGTATTTACAACATTTACTAATGATATATCTTCGATTAATGATACAATGGTTGATCGATTTTGCAGAAATATTTTGCCAAGAATTCATTATAATATTAAATCTCTTACTGTTGACTCACTATCTATGGAACGCATTCTTTTTTGTGTCGATTATCCTAATCTAACTGAGCTTAAACTCTTTAATTTCAATGGTAAAATTGCTTCGCATTATTTTAGAGGTAAATATCGTATGTACGGAACAGCAGAAAAAAAACTAGATAAAATATTGTTGGATAAATGGACTAGACAGTAACAATTTGTTTTTATTTAGATAAAGGACCATTTGATGGTCATCTTGTACGACAAATTACAGATCTTGCTCTTGTATTTCAAAACACTATTTATGATACATCAACACATTATTCATTAGATACATACAGATTTATTATGCAAATTTTCGGAAATCTAAAACATTTATCTATTATTGGATCATATCGCTGGATGTTTTTAGATTTATCATATCACAAATCTTTACCACCATCACCAGTTACCTTCTCATCTTCAACTCTTACCAAGTTACGTATTCGTGTGATAAGCTATGCAGCTTGTCTTGCTGTACTTGATGGTCGTTTTAAACAATTAAGAACCTTGATTGTTGATATTATTGATATAGACTTGCATCAATCGTATGTCTGCAATATGGTAAGTTTATATTTTATTAAATTAATCTTTTCAACTTGCATTGATTAGAGTAATAATTATTTTCATATTAATTATTATAGATAGACTTTCTTTTGTGAAGGAATTAATGAAATAGTTGTAAAATGGATACAGATCTATTTGATAGATAGATACAGTCAGTATTGTATAATTAGTATATTTTATTAATTATTTTATGAGTACAAATCAGTTTGAAAAAAAAAGAAACTAGCAATTATCTAGTTCGAAATAATTATTTTTTTTAACATAAGATTGAAAATATTGATTTTCTAGAGAATTTGAAAATGGATCTAATTGTTTGTTCTCAGCTGTAAATAATTTTTACTTTCGATTTGGTCAGTTTTATTATCTCAAATAAAAATTTCAGAAACTGCAAGAATATCAAAAACTGTATAAATATCAATAGGAATAAGAAGAATGAAAGAGAAAGAGGTTCATAAAGTCTAAATGAGAATAGATAAAGATTATTAAATATATACATGAATTAATGAAAATTTTCATGTCACGAACATTTCTTTAATTCAATGATTTATCTTAATATTCATTACTTATGCTAGAAATACAAGATAGTTAATTTAATTATCATTACAGAGTAATATATTTTATTCTATATCTAAATTATATTATACAAAAAAATATTTAGAAATAAATTGAATAGAATCAAATGAATTATTTGTTAGAACCTTTTTTATTGATACTCAATATATTTTCTAGGATGATTTACCTAATTTAAAATGTTTTTCTCTAACAACGACGTCTACTTGTTTTATGGATATGTTTATTGAAAGCATACCATTTCTTTTTCGTCGTATGATAAATCTTGAAGAATTAACTTTGCAACTTAGTGTCATTATGGGAACTGTATTTATCGATGGTACTCATATTTATAATAACATTCTTATCCATTTACAACAACTTCGTATATTCAACTTTTGTATTTGTACTGATCTTAGGATAGATCATTTAGTTCATCATTTATCTAAATATGATATTCAAAGAACTTTTTCTAACGCAATATATCAAGATGTAGATTGTATGGTACAATATGGATGTAATCGTGCTACATGTCATGTATTTTCATTACCGTTCATATTTGATTATATCGGATATATTGGTAATACATTTCCAAGTATTACTTTCATTCATGTTAGAAGATTGTTTGTGTGTGATTTAGTTCCATTTGAACACGAATTTTTCATTCGAATTGCTTCATGTTTTCCTTTACTTGAACATTTAAGCATGTATAATATAGGACCTCAGTTAAAAGTATCAACCAAATTGAAATCTGACAATAGCCGAATGAATTCAATTGTTAAATATTCACATCTTATTTGGCTTGAACTTGAATGTGTTCATATTGATTATGTCGAACAATTTCTCAATGAAACAAAAACGCATCTACCTTCTTTAACCAGATTAACAATTTACTATTCTGTTTTATGCAATGTGACAGAAGACTTTACAAGATATATAACACGACGTAATTGTATTAAAGTGAACCAATTAAATCTTGGTGGAGGTATAATAGAACGTTCCAAAGATTTCAATGTTTATTTTCCTCTGTTATAAATTTGTGCTTTGATCTGACTAAATAAATAATGAAAATTTATTAATAGTATTTTTTTGCAATCGAATCACTCTAGTCAAACATTATTTATTAGAAATTCTTATTAATATTGAATTGCTATATGATATAAAAATATATTTAAATTTCAGATTTGATAAAGAATAATATTGCAGTAAATATTAGTTTGTTTATCTCATTTATTTGAAATAGTTGAAACAAAAAAACCATTTGGTTGTCTATTCATAATTATTTTTTTAATGTCAACTATTCGAATAGATTAAAAGAAATTTTGTATATGAGAATCGAATATCATGTTGAAAAGCATTTGTTAGCAAAACCTTAATTAATAATTCAAACATATTCATGAGAGTTAATAAAATCATAATTGATTATGAACTCGACGCCCATATTTAAACTTCATTATTTTCATTCCAACAGCTAAAGCCATTAACTAAAAATCAATTCGTTTAACGAAAAGAAGAAATTTATTTAAAATTTTTACTTGATGACCAAGACCAATACCAAAGATTGGTTTAATAGTTTCACTATCAATCCATGATTTTATAGTTACAATAGTATCTGAACATTGAATTTGTGGATCACCAGGGCCGCTACTCAAAAAAAGACCATCGAATTCTGAAAAGAAAAAGAAAATCTAAATTGTTATTCGTATTTGAAATAAAATACCATCTTGTTTAACAGGATGATTCCAAGGAACAATCGTTACTTTTGCATTGAGTTGACATAAAATTCGTAATTGATTATTTTTAAGTCCACAGTCAATACAAACAATAGATATTTTTCCTGTTGGATTAAAGACACGTGGATTCTAATATTTCAACAAACGAACAAAAAGAAAAGAAATAACCAAAAGATACAAGAACTTTGTTACTCGAATAGAAACTAGTGTCATAAGATCAATTCTATTTTGATCGTGAAATGAAATCATTTTTGGATCAGTTCCTTCCATAACAATCTATCCATAATTAATTTAATAAAGAAAAACAATATTAAGATTATACTTTTCCAAGCATTGTTCCATCTTCAACAAAATTTTTAGCTATCGTACGTGTATCAATTCCTATCATCAAAATAATTACCATGAAAGAATTACAAATAATCAAAAGAAGACCAACCATAAAGACCAGGAACATTATGTTTTTTGAGCCATGATGAAAGAGATTCAATAGCATTCCAATGACTATAGTCTTCTGTATAAGCACTAACAATTAATGCTGATGCATAAATTTTATTCGATTCAACCCATCGAAGTATACCAAAATCATCAATAGTTTTGTCATCAGGTACACCTGAAAAATTTTAAACAAAGACTCAAGATAACTAAATAAAACAAACAAGCAAACAAACCATAATTTCCTATAAGCGGAAAAGTAAGAACTAGAATTTGTCCACAATAAGATGGATCAGTTAATGATTCTACATAACCGACCATACCAGTGTGACACACTAAACAATAGATAAATCAGTAAAACAAACAATGGACATTCATTGATATAATCCTACCAACTTCACCAGCAGTATTAGTTGATGCTCCAAATGTAAAACCATCGAATTTAGAACCATCTTCAAGTATTAAAGTTCCACGTTTCATCTAGAAAAATAAATGAATAAATATTGTCAGTTATAAAAAAAACAATAGTTCATGATATGTTCTAAAAGCAGTATATATGCAGAATAGTAAAAATGAATCATCTAACGGTATGCTATATTTTATCTTTACGAACCAATGGTGAACGAAGAATGGATGGAAAAAGGCAGAAAGGAAAAATGTCGAAAGGGAAAAATATCGAAAATAAAAATGTCGAAAACATGAATATGAGGTGAAAATGAACATTCAAGATTGGAGCTGTGGGTAAGAAAGACTTGTACTTCAACGTACTCTCATTTTCAGCATTTCTATTCATCTAAATTTGTAAAATTTTTGTTTTCGATATTTATATTTTCGACATTTTTTCCTTTCGATATTTTTCCTTTCTGCCTTTTTCCACCATACCGTGAACGAACATCACTAACAAAGTCTCGTCTAATTCATTATATCATGTTTAGAAACATTTGTTGATGATTCTTCAGAAATGATTGTTATGTTATGAATAGTGAAAGAGAACTTGCGCTTTGAGAAGTTATATGATGTACACTATAAACAAAATGAAAATATTTTAAATTTATTTTCTTACATAGTACCAGTGTTTTTAATAGGAATTTTAAGCAAAGCATCAATCCATATTCTACCAACAGGTTTCCCACATTTTCCAGCAAAAAACAAAGTACCATTTCAAGATCGTAACGTAAGTACCAGGGTACTTTGCTTCTGCTTGGAGTACTTAATGTTAAAAAAAACTGCATAGTACTATCTAATTTTATTCATCGAAATTTATTTTGTCATTCAAATAAAGATATTCTTAACTTTACTCTAAAAAATTTCAAGATTGATCAATATTCATTAAAGAGACGTCAACTGTTTGATGATAAATTAGTAGTTTGAAGATAATGTTTCCAGGATTGAAATACTTGTATTAAATGAATAAATAATAAATAAAACAAAAAGAATATTAAATAGCTTAGTTAATTATTCTTTTCTTTTTGTTCGTAATTTATATATGACAGATGATTAATAGAAGAAATAAACATTGACGTTTAATTGAAAACTATTCGATATGTTATTTATTTAATCCTTAAAATATCGTTGCAAGCACTTTTTGTGACATGTCTATTATCAATTTCTGCAATAGATTCATTGACATTGATACAAAAAGAAAAAAATTGTAAAATGTTTCATATCTATTCAAGAACGTTTACATTTGTCTCTTTTTCTTCAAACTAACATTTGAATATTTAATCAAAACGAAATAAGAATTCTTTCTTTATAATATTCAATTGTTCTTATACAGAGGCCAGAACGATAATGAGTTTTAGATGATAACGCACGGGTCATAACATTAACATTTATATTCTTTTTCTAATTTTCTAAATAAATATACTGTATAATCTCTCTATAGTGGACACCCAAAGCATCAAGTAAAAGTATCCATTATATGAGTATGTTCACTTTCCAAAGGTTTTCAGTTTTTCGGGTGTGGGTGTGGGTATGAGTGTGAAGCTCTCGTCATCGGCATTCGTACCCACACCCTTTTCATTTCTTATGTTTGCCAACTAAATGATGGCAAGGCATCAATGTATTGTTAGAGAAACGTTTAGTTTTTTTCGAACTTCACTTCTATCTTGCTTTTTACATCCGAAACATTACGTCACATATTTCTATTTATTACCTTATGATTTCGCACGAACCCGCGTGGGTGTGGGTGTTGAAGGACTCGTTAAATAACCAGACCCAGACTCAGACCCATACCTTTCATTGAAAATCAATTCCTATTGGAATTGGAAGTATCATTAGTTGGGATGCAATATAGATATTTCTATGCATTAGGTTAATTATAATTAATTAAAATTGTGAGAAAAAGAAATCAAATCTATGAGTAGTATATTTTATCTTCTTTATTGAGGATACTACAGATAGTACGTGATTTCGTGGGCATCACGTAGTGGCGGCGCCAGCGAGGGGCCAAGGGAAGATAAGCCCCCCCCCCAGAATTTTTCAAACTTCCGATTAAAAAAGCAGCCGAGCCCCCCCCCTCCAAAAAAAACTGTTTAAGCCCTCCCTAGAAAATTTAAGTAAGGGGCTCAGCCCCCCAAATCAAAAGTCCTGGTGCCGCCGCTAGCATCACGTTGTAAATCCAATGTTGTTTCTATTTCTATTGTTTCACTCGATAGAGTACTTGCCGATGTAACAAAAACTGCATGAATATCGGCGGTTATAACGGTCAGGTTACCGGCTCCCTTTACCGCAGGAAGGATAAATACCGCGGTTTATCGCAAAAAATGATCCGGTATTCGCAACAAGGATGGGCACTTACTCTTTCGCTTTAACTAGAGTGTTCTAATATGTGCTTTTATATATCAATTGAGTCTGATTCAAATATCATCCACATCCCATAGAAAATCATATGGAATTTAGAACGAAATAATACTACATATGTACTTTGTGTCGCGTTGACATCGTCAATGCAAAAGTGCACGGCTAGAATGTGTTGATTTCTTTATTTTTTTTTATCTAGTCTAATCACTCGAAAGATACAGATAAAAATACATTTTAGCAGATTAATAATTCTAGTAACGACAGAAAAAAAACTTAATTCAACAGATTGACTGCGTACTCAAAATAATCATTTCGCTCAAATGAGACTGATTTATGTTTACGGTATATTTTTTAGTGACCTATTCATATTTAGAACGTTATACCATCAGAAATCGCTAAAATCTTTATGCTTCTGTGCCACCAGCTCATATTATTGACGGTAAATTCTTGCAATTTTCATAACATTGATAGCAAAAATTCGTTTTGTTTTTGCACTTTTAGTTTGCGTGATATGCTAAATGCATGTGATCAATCATTTGTGGCATTTTCTTATTGATTAAACAAAAAAATACAATAATATTGTAACATAGAAAAAGAAATTATAGAATTAAATTATAAAATTGTCAATCTTCTTTTTTTTTAAGAATTCGAATCATAATGACTTTCTACACTTGAATTAAAAGATAAATATTGTTTATACTCGATCTATGTAAAAAGAAAAGTAGCTTTGCTAAGAAATAGTTCAGATCTCTGATAATCATCCTATCACATGCAG